GGTACAGGTCAAATTATTCTTCGCATTTTGTTTTTGTTTCTCTATTACCTTGCTGTGTGCAATGACACATCAATGACACACTTGGTTATCACCTTGTGCACCATTTTTGGTCCTTGCAACATTTTGACATCATCTGTGATCAATTACTAAAAAGACAAGCAGCAAATCTATTTGTTAATTTTGTGAACTTTTATAACCGTATATATTACATTTTGTTTGCCTGAAGGTACAACAAACTACAAGAGTTTAATCTGCATGATCTTACAGAGATGTACAATGCAGTGTTCAGGGATCACAAAGATGGCCTCACTTACGCATTCTCTGAAGATGCATTATCCTTGTATGAGGAGTTTGGTGGAGGAATATGTTAAACAGCAAGTGGAGCATGGAGGTGTTTGTCAAGGATAACGTGGAGTTGGGAAAAGATCAACGATAAGTTATTTGCCTAGCTGTCATCCTGTATGTCATTGACACTGTTGTATCTTAGTCAGAGTTAATGTTTACTAGACAGGACATGTGATTGATTGCGTACAGTAGTAGTTTTATGCACAGTGTATGCACATCAATGTCCGCGTAGTACATATGGGAATAAACTCATAATCAAACACAACATTGGTGATGAGGATAACCCAGAATTCCGATACTGAACCGAGCACACCACCTTCCACAAATCCTTCAACTGGTTCAGGCACTTTAACTGTAACCACTGTAGCAGTCACTGTTGCTACGCCTCAAAGTAAATTACTGCCATTTCAGCAGTTCAACCCCTCTGTGGATCCTTCCACGGTTGGACAACGATGGAAGAAACGGGTGTGTTGCTTTGAAATCTTCATCTAAGTCTATGGGAATTTGACCCCACTATTTGCCAAGGACTATTGCTTATATACAAAGGCAATTCAACCAACGATATTTTCGACATCTTACCGGACACTGTACCACCTATGAAACGGCCATTCCAGCTCTCAACCAGCACTTTGACCCCATACAAAATAAAGATATGGTGTTCTTTGAGTTCCGAGACCTCAAACGAGAAGTCAACGAAACTCTCAACGACTTTTATCATCATTTAAAAACAAAAGCATCTGATTGTAATTTCCCAAGCATAAATGACGAAATGTGGACACAAATCATTTACAAAACAAGGGATAAACGCCTTTGCAGACAAGCCCTGAGGGAAAGTTTTACACTGCAGGAACTTCTCAACCATGGTAGATCACTTGAGTGCATCGATGAACAAGCAAAAAGGCTCGAGGGCCACCATTCTCAAATGCCAACATTAGCATTAAATGCTGTGGACACTCAGCTAAACCAGTCACGTTTTCTGCTCAACAACTCAGGTTTTCGAGCAATGGATTACATAATCGCCGAAACCAAAATGGCTTACGTAACAAATGACAAAAGAGAAAACCGCCTCTGCCAACCAAGCAATTGACCACTGTTTGCAGAAACTGACAGTCTTTTTCTCACACAAAGGTGGGATGCGTTCATGCCCAGCTCAAGGAACAGAATGTCATGGATGCCATAAATTGAATCACTTTCCAAAATTTTGTCTCTGCAGTCAATATACAGCACATGGCATCCAACATGTGACAGGTGACGTCACGCAACCAGAGCCCAATTCAAGTGAGACAGATGACGAATACCTCTTCACCATCCACAGTACAACTACACATCCCGAAACCACTGTTATCATCAATGCTGTACCAGTTACAGTAATTGTGGATTCTTATGCCCCCGTCAATGTGCTCAATGAGGCATCTGTGGATTGCATTGAAGCCCAAAATGCCAACTTCTGGTTAACGCCTTCAACAGTCAAAATCCATGCTTATGGCGCCGAGCAGCCATTACACATCGCTGGCCAATTTGACAGAATCTGTTTTTGCTTGCAGTGGAAAGTCAACAGAACCGATCTTCCATGTTTCTAACAGCAAATCCAAATGTCTTCTCAATTTTAACTCCTCAACAGCACTTGATCCTCTGAGCATCAACCTCAACAATATCACATTACAACACGAAGACTCTCAAGTTCATGCAATCCTTACTAAACACTTCAAGCTGTTCAGCAGGACGGGCAATTTGAAAAACACCTGCAGGAAACTGGAAATTGATGAAAGGGTCACTCCCAGTAGCTCAACCGTCTCAAAGAATTGCTCATAGCATAAAAGCAAAGGTCAACTCCAAGCTTGAGGAAATGCGCAATGAGAGCATCGGTGAAAAAGTCCAAGGAGCGACACCCTGGCTATTACCCCTTATGGCCATTCCTAAGAAAAATGGAGACGTTCGTTTGGTTCTAGACAGGTGAATGCCAAACACTGCCCTTACACAGCGCTGGGAACAAATACCCACAGTTAATGAGATTCTCCAGCAGATGGAAGGTGCAATCATCTTCTCCGAAGTTGATCTCTCGCAAGGTTAACTGCAACTTACATTGGCTGAAGAATCACGCTACATCATTGCCTTCTCTACACTTGATGATGGCTCACATCGTTTCATTCGCCTTATAATGGGTGCATCCCCATCAGGAGAACATTGGCCACAGCCGCACTAGAGAGTTAACCGGGTTATTTCTAATTAATTAATTACGGTTAACTGGGTTACTGAAAAATCGTAATGCGGCCGCCAATTTCGGCTGTTCATGGAACTTAAACCAGGTTTACAATTACCACGGAAATTTATTGATGAACAATAGATTTTTTAACCGGGTTAGGTTAATTTTAAACCTCCTTTTTCCGTGCTTTAACCCAGGTTAGTGGTCTCTTATCAGTAGTCTTATCAGCACCATGCATTGGCTTTTTCGCAAAATGTGTCAATCATCACGGTGTGCGTGTGAAATGTTGTCCGGCATGGAAAATACACCTGCATAAACTTCTGAACATGGCACCTGGTGACAACATTTATAACAATTCTAGCAACAGTTATATTACTCAACCGGGTTACTGGTGTCCTTCCCAATACGCGTCACCGTTCCCAAATCAGTCAACTTGGTAAGGAACTTTGAGGCCTGAAATATGATCTGGGCAGGAAGCGTTATACTATTTACCTTATTCACCAGCAAGCTGTTCTGAAATGAGCGACAGCTCATCGACAGCCAGCAGCACCAAGGGGAAGAGAAACACTTGGGGCACTGCAGAAGAGGAAATTTTAATCAACCTCTGCAAGGAGCATAAAAGCGGATTAACAGGGAGCGGTAGTTCACAAAAATGGCAACAAATAGCGGATGAAGTTAACAGAGCTAGAGACAAAATAAATGCATCTTCCTCATTGAAGACAGGAACTCAGTGCAGAGACAAATGGCACAATTTGCTTAATGCGTACAAGAAAGCTAAGGACTTATCTACTAAAACTGGAAATGGTACAAAAGCAATGAAAGGCTTCAAGCATTTTGAACAAATGGATATGTTTATGGGTGATAAACATTAAATCGCAATGCCATTTGTGAGAAATTCAAGCAAGTCCAGTGTTCCAGCGACATCTGCGACTGAAGCAAGTTTAAATGAAGATAACTCTGTAAGCTCCCCTGCAAACGCTACAGTGAGCAACAGAAGGATGTCAAGTCCACTCTGATCTTGACAAGCCCTCTACCTCAGGTGTAAAACTTCAAGATACTGATGAGACACCAGCAAGCCCCCCAAAGAAGGCTAAGTTGAAAAAAGGAAAGTCGCCTAAGGAAGCCAAGGGTAAAAGTTAAGAAAGATGAACAAGATGATGGATTGTTTGATCTTTTTGAAAAGCAAACCAAAGTTTTAGAAGCAAGCTGAAGGGGCCAGGAACATCACTTTCAATTCTTAAAGGAGTCGGAAGAAAGGCATCGAGATTTGCTGATAATTGCAATTAGAGAACTAGGTACAGTTCTTGGTGATAAAAAAGGAAAGAAAAGAGCTGAAGAGAAATTAGAAAGTTCTGATGAAGACTGAAGAGAACAAGTACTGTATTTATTTATTACTGTTGTTTCTTTTACACTTCATGCCATGGCATTTCAAGCCAAAAAACAATTAGAGAATCTTAACTGATGTAGGTTCAACATGCTATCCTAAAGGTTTACAGCTGTGTTCAAAGTGCATTCAAAAACTTTTTGAGTGTCAGAACATTTTTCTCTCTTGTAACTGAACTAAAATGTTTTTATTTAAAGTTGGTTTTGTTCAGCTTCAGTACACACATAAAGAAAGTGCCACGCCCAAGTCCCAACCCTAGCAAACTAAGTGAAGCTCAAACATGTTGTCTCAGGTTAAAAGTTTACAGTTGCATTGAAACTGCCTTAGAACATGGTCCGATCCTAGTTCCGTTTTGGGCTGTCTCTGTCAAACAATGCTATGTTTAGCATGCGTGACAAGAATGTAGCGTAGTGTTTCGTGACAAAGACAGTGTCAGTACTAGACTGGAGTTCCTGGTTCAAAAACACCTAGGAAAACCAGTAGCAGTTAGGAATATCTTTTGTAACCCAACTGAAATGTTCAAATTAAAATAAAAAATATATATTCAATACTATAAAATGATGTCAAGACAGCTGCTGTGGACTTGTATCTCAGTTGGGGACTGAACATAAAGCCTTTTTGCTGGGTTTCAGAGACTCCACTAAAGGGTTTAATCTGAGAGATATGCAATAAAAACATGTGGGGTATATTCAAAGTTTCCAATCATCTTACGAAAATTCATTCTTCAACCAACCACCACCACCACCCCCGCTCCCACGCAGATACACACGCACACACAAAACCCGCCCAACCGAATTGTACACACCACAACCTCATCCCTGAAAAGAGGGTACTGAAGTCCAGGCATAGTGGAATAGAAAAAGGAAGAAAAGCGAGTGGAAAAGTGTTGCTCTCGTCTGATATGACACTTTCTAAGTATGCTACTGTGAGAGGTATTCTGTGAGGGCTCGTCTTATCTCTTGACCTTCGTCATCTTCTGGTCCATCTTCATCATTGTCATCACTATAATAATAATAATAATAATAAAGACCTTTCAACAGGGAGCCCACTTCACATACATGTGGTTTTCAGTGGGGCTCTGCAAAAATAAAATTGCAAAAGCTAAAGAAATAGTAGATTAGACTGCTTTCATCCTCATCAGAATCATCGAAATTGTCTTCCATGATGATATGGAAATTTTGTTAAATGCAGCAAGCTAGTGTGACTTCTGCGACTCTTTGTGTTGTCCTCTCATTCCTTTAGAATGCATCGCCCATGCATCTTTAACTTTCCGTAAGCTCTTTCCACGACAACGCGTAGCTTCATCAGCACCTTGTTAAACCTTTGTTGTGCCGGGGGTTAAGCATCCGCTGTGGTAGGCTGTCATGAGGTTAGGACAAAAGGGGTAGGCAGTGTCCCCAATCAAATATGGCCTCACGTTTACATTGTTGATGACCCTAGTCCCTTCCATTATATCACCCGAAGAAATTTGCCTGAAAAGTTTGCTTCAACAAAAAATCCTTGCATCATGAACACTTCCTGAGTCAGTTGCTCCCTGTAGAACAATCGAATAACATTGCTTTCGGTTATAATATGCTTTGTGATCTTCTTGAGGGGCTTTAATTTTTACATGGCTCCCATCAGTAACGCCTGCAACTTGGGGTAGGCCATATTTTAATTCAAATTTGTTCATTACGTTTCCTAATTCCCTTCCATTGGATGGAAAAGAAATGTAATCTTCTCTGACGTGAAACAGGGTACGAATGAATTCGTGAATAAAGTTAAGCACAGTGCATTTTCCTACACCAAACGTAATAGATGTAGAGCGATAACTTTCTCCAGTTCCTAGATGCCACAATCCAATTGCCACACGCTTTCATGTCAGTACCGCTGCACGGAAGCGAGTGTTTCTTTTTGCCATACATGGCAACAGAATACGACAAAGGGCTTGAAAGGAGTTTAAGCTCATTCGAAAGTGCTCTCTAAAAAAGCCATGCATGGCAGGATTTCTATGGATTTCCCCAAACCATCGCTGGTCTCTCGGATATACCCAGACTCGAGGACAATTCATTTGATGGCGATGGAGAACATCCTGACGTCTACGCGAAATTAACATCATGTTTCAAAGAACTGCTTTAGAAATTTGCGTAGTGCACATTAGAAGGAAGAGGGACTGCCTTAGCCATGAGTGGAGAGAAAGGAAATGAAAACAAAGAAAAAGAATCGAGAATATAACATGGTCCTCGAAGTCTGCCATTTTGTTGGTTAATCTCGTGACATCAATCGAGTTAACTCACTTCATAACCCATTTCAGTGCGGCCGCTCCTAAAATATAACCCCATTATTTTATTATAACCAACCTTTAACTGCGTTGAGTTGTTTAGAATTTTTAACCAGGTTTCTAAAAAATAAACCCAGTTAACTTTCTTAGTGCGGCCACAGCCATTGTCACAAATTTATTCGTGACCTCGTCAGAGAAATTCCAGGAACTGCTAATATCTTAGACAACATTTAGATGTGCCTAGCAGACAGTGGTATCACTCTCAAACTACCTAAATGCTCTTTCGCCGTACCACAGATCAATGCCTTCAGACGCATTACCTCAGCCAATGGCATCCAGCTTGATGAGAAAAAAATCAAAGCCAGCACAGATGCTCTTCACCCTACCAACGCATCCAAGAGAAACCTCAAGATAGATGATTTTGTATTAGTCACAGAGGCACACCAACAAATATTCCACAAAGTTCTACTGAAACCCCATGAAAATCGTAAAGATGCATGGCACTCAAATCATTATTGAGGATGGACAGGGGAAGCAGCACAGGCGAAACACATGACATGTCAAGCTATTCGTCCAGCAGGAGGACAGACATAGAGAAGTGGATGCTCTGGAATTAGAGGATGACGACTTCACAATTAACCGTCATCATACAACTACAATCACTTCGCCCTGTGTAGCCAATAGCCAACCACAAGTCCCAACAACCAACAGAGCAACCCCAACACCTGGTCAGCAAGTTCCCAGAAGATCTGCAAGGCAAAGGACCACACCTGCCTACCTCATCCGGAAACTTGAAAGATTTTAATTTTGAACAAAATTTGTGCCGGTACCAACAAGGTATGAATGCAAATTTGACATCACTTCTCTCTTTAATCCCCATGAGATAGTCTTTTTGAAGCTTGCTCGATCTTTACACATGTTCTTTGAGACATCATCAGAAATAAAAATCTGACTGCCCAGAAAGGGATTGTCCTTCAAAGCATTCACAGCGACTTTAAGAATTTGAACTTTGTCAGAATACCTCAAAGGATAGATATCAATCAGCCTAACTGGAGAGGTGTTTGCCTCTGTGGCTCATTGGTTGACATTCATTTGATGGGCCCTCGTCACCTCAGTAGGGACCTTAGGAAACAAGGACGGGAAGCTAGGACAGGGACAGCCTTGGACAAGCGAGACTAGGCCTGGCCCCGTCATTCCCGCCAAATACAAAATACTTAAGAATCTGTATTTTCGTGTAGGACGGCGACGCCGATACTTTCTGTAATGACGTCCTACAAAGATGCCAGAAATCTTCTTTTAGATAGCTATAACGATGGCACTATAGACGAAGATGATTTTTTTGTGCTGTATCAAGAACATTTTTCCAAGAATCCAGAATTTCCATATGAACAGTACGAACTATTTGACATGGACGCGATGGATGATACAGAATGCAAAGCCGAATTTCGCTTTAGGAAAACTGAAATTCCACTACTTGTGGAAGCACTCGATATTCCCGAAACGTTTGTTTGCCATCAAGGTATGACAGCTCCTGGAATTGAAGGTCTCTGTGTGCTTTTAAGACTACTGACCTACCCTTGTTGCTATTCTGATTTAGTCCCTCGTTTTGGCCGACCAGAACCGGAACTAAGCATGATTTATAACATTGTTTTGGATTAAATTTACAATACACAAGGACACAGAATCACGCAGTGGAACAACACAATTCTTGACCCTGTAAGCCTTGAGAGATATGCAGTTGCTATCTCTGACAAAGGTGCAGCATTGGACAACTGGTATGGTCCTGTAGGTAAGATTTATTGCTTGTGGTTCATAACAGTTAATTACACGAACCCAATTAGTATTTGTTAAAAACACAAGGATGCCTTTGTAACCTGTTTCAAGGCTTCAATGTTTCTGATCCCTGGGTGGGGTCTGGTCCAAAACATGGTCAGGTCTAGACCAAAATCTCAGTAATCCCTGACCCTATAGCCTTAGCCCCAATGGTTAAGAGACTGACCTTCAGGTTAGGTAAGGTCTAAATTAAGGTACGGTAAGGGTCTTAAGAAGTGCAACACACACCCCAAATAAAACTTGGTGGAGACCTATCAGGTTTCTGACTAATCTGAATGTTCATTAATTTGGTTACCAATTTTATTCCAGAAGGAAGAAAGCCCGATGCTGGGATGTTGGCAGATTTTGGCCTGCTCAATGATCTGCAGCGGTATGCATTTTCTCCAACTGGTCAAGCCATGTGCCTTTAGGGTAACCCTGCCTACCCTCTACACATCCATCTCCAGGCTCCCTTCAGAAGTGCAGTTCTAACCCCTGCCATGCAAGCCTTCAACTCCTCCATGAGTACTGTGTGTGAATCAGTAGGGTGGCTTTTTGGGGACATTGTGAACTATTTTAAATAACCTCATTTAGGCCCTTTCTGCAAGCAGGCAAGTGCTAGGAGTACCCTAACGAGAAGATCGAAGATTGCCTGAGTGTACAGGTAGAATGAAGTTGGGTTACCCTGGTACCCAGGACAACTCTGTCCTATCACACTTTAGTTAACCTGGTAAATATCACTAGCAAACAATAATAATTCTATTGCCAAATACTATTGTCACTTGAATTACGTAGTTGATCAGTTCTTCAAATATTTCAGCAACAGTAGCAACAAACATGACTGGGAATATTTTGTCACTAAAAGCTGTTGTTAGAAATTTTCTCTACCCAAAGCAAAACTGAAACAGGTTTTGAATTTATAAATCTTTCTTAAGTCACAATTTTTTTCTTTTCATATTTCAATTCTTGGAGCACAAATAAAGTTGTCCCAGGTAAAGGACTTCTCCCTAGCAGAGGGTTTACAAGCCAGGTACGGTTAATCTGGTGCTACGGTAACCGCTAGTGCTCAGCTAGGGTTACCCTTGTGCCAGGGTAATCCTACCTGGCTTGTAACCATGTCTTTGAAAAAAGAAGAAATTTGGGAGTGCTAGCACTACGGGTACCCTACTTCCTCCTTAGGGCATTAATTTGTTTCTGTGTAAAATATTAACAAACAATCAGATCAAAACACGTGAAAGCAAAGTTTTGTAAACTCAAATGTTTCCCAGTTTATTGCATTGCAATTAAACATTTCTTCTCTACTAACTTATAAACAAGGACTAGCATCAAATCATTTTGCATGCATACCAATCATGGCCTGAAAGTCCTGCATCTGCTTTTGTTGTTGCTGCTCATGCAGCATCACATGTGGAAACAAAGTTTTGTAAACTCAACGTTGCCAAGTTGTTTACTACATTGCAAGAGAACATTTTACTTTCTCTCTACTAACTTAGAAACAAGGGCTAGGATCAAATCGTTTTATTATTTTGTATGCATACCAATCATGGCCTGAAAGTCCTGCATCTGCTTTTGTTGTCGTTGCTGCTGATGCAGCATCACATGTGAAAACAAAGTTCTGTAAACTCAACGTTGCCAAGTTGTTTACTACATTGCAAGAGAACATTTTACTTCTTCCCCATTAACTTATTAACAAGGATTAGCATCAAATCAGTTTGGCATTTGGTTTGCATACCCATCATGACCTGAAAGTCCTGCATCTGTTGCTGATGCAGCATCACTTGCATGAAATTGTCCTGTTTCTTGGACTCAAGCTCCAGCTGCTGTCTCCTAAGACCGAATTCCTCTTTTTGGATTGCCTGAACCTGTTCATTTTTTCCTCTTAGAAAGTTTAGTGTGTCACTGCCATTTGACCTTCTCTTCCTTTTTTTGCCTTCGCTTTCTCCCTCATCAGCTTGTCTTTTCTGAGTTTGTCCAAGTCTTTCCATAGCCTTCTTCCAGATGTTCTCGGCATTTTCTTTTTCTTGACTGTCTTTCATCTTCTTCTGGTTGTCAACAACTCTTTGTTCTGTCTCAGCTGCATCTTCTTTCTCAATCAGTTCCTTTAGTGTGACTTCCACTTCTGTCATATCAGTTTTGATTCCACTCTCTCGTTCTTCTGTTTTCAATTTGGTTCTCAACTCCTTTGAAAGGAGGTTGTAACGGTCACGGACTGCCCTCTTATCAACTTTGAAGTACACTTCCTGAATTTTGTTTAAGTTTTGGGCGACCCCTTCCCACTTTGTTCCTCTAGCCACTGTACTTTTTTTGGTGCCAGTAAAGGGATCCACTACCAATATTTCCTAGCATAACATTTCATCATGAAGAGCGCTCCAAACCATTGGCTTCCTGAAAATTTTAATCAATATAAACCCTTCAATAAAACCGGATTCATTTGCGAATCCTTGCTTAGACATTGAAATTGTCATTTGCCATAACTGGGAAAGAAGGTAAACATTGACTGCCGATCTTGATCACAACAAATCAAAATATGAAATAAAATCAACACTTAAAATCAAAGAATCCTTTTGTTGTGCTTTCTTTACTCTCAATTGATATCCCATTACTACAAGACGTTCTCAACTTTACTTACGTTTTACTTTTTTTGGCCGTGGACTGCGCGGGAAAATTCATGGCGACGACTGAAACAAAAACAAATACACAGTGAGTATATTTATCAAACATTTTACCTGTTTAGGGTCATTTACACAATAAGTACAGAAAATGTGATCTTAATAAACAGTCTCATAAGTACATCTGAAAATTGAATCGATTGAGACACTTAATAAGTGACAAAGAAACGAAAATGCTCACGTTCTCGACAAGACGGTAAAACCCCCGAAATGGCGTCCTCGACGAGACAAACACGGCAAGGCCATGAGTTGGACGTTCTCGTGGGCATGCCTGGTAGTGTAAATTTACTTCGGCAACCGTCCTCATTCCTCCCGTCCTTGTATCTTAAGGTGCCTAATGTTTTGAAGTTGCATGTGTTTCTTGTATAATTCAACCCTCAGGAAATATTCTAAGGAATTGTGTGTGGCTTCTGCACCTTCCTTGAGATCCCAGATGAGAATGTTATTTCTCTTCGACCTATTTTCCAGGTCCTCCTTCTTCTTATAAACTGACACTAATTCTTCACGACTCACTTTGCGAGTCAGCTCATTATCTACATCTATCATTTGCGCATCCAGTGAGCAGTAGCTGTCTTTCAGGGCATCAACGTCGGCAGCGTTTTTTTTCTGTGAACTCTCTAAACTGGATAATTTCTCAAGGATACTATTCAACTTTGTTTCTCGTAAGTCTCTCGACCTGAGTAAGTCGTCCATTTTGGCAAGGACGGTGTCCAGCTTGTTTGAGGTTGAGTCGGTATTGGGCATTTGTAAGGTTTTAGATCTGGTTCTCACATTCATATAGAATGCTTATAGAGCTTAGAAGATCATCATTTGGCGAGAAAATGAAATTGACCAACTTCAAAGTGGAGAGCTCAAACTCATGCGTCCTACCTGCATCACATCATCATGTGACCTTTCTTCCATAACACATCCTTGGTCAACTGGTAACTCATGTCTTTGTGTGGAGTATGGTTTCAGTTCGTCACTGCTTACATAATTTGGCCACCCAGTTAGCGTATAATTTAACACTCCTGCTAGTACAGGATCTCTTCTGGTCTCTCTACTAATGTCCTTTGCATCAATGGGCAATTCTTCCAGACAAGAGAAGAAAAAGATTTCAGCCTCTTCCTTCAAGGGCAGGTCGTTGCAAGGGAGGCATGATAACGCATCAACATTGCCATGTTCTTTAGATGGTTGATATTTCACTTGGTAGTTGTAGGCCTGTACAATTACTGCCCAGCATTGCATTCTGGCGGCTCCTAGGCTTGGTATGGCTGTTTTTGGACCCAGAATGGTCACTAGGGGCTTGTGGTCTGTATACAGATGAAACAGATGTCCATAGAGGTTCTATGGACTTCTGGAATTTGTGCATTTCGAAAATAATAGCTCTAGCCTGTTTCTTTATTTGTGAATAGTTCCTTTCATTCTTTGTAAGTGCTCTCGAGGCAAATGCAATGTGATGTTCTTCTCCATCATCTGTTACATGTAAAATCACAGCTCCTACACCATACAGAAGAGCATCACATGCTAGAATCCGCTTCCTTTTCTCATCATATGGAACCAATACGCTACTGGCCATAAGCTCAGATTTACTTTGCTCGAAAGCTTCTTCAAACTCTCTGGACCACTCCCATTTCACACCTTTCTGAAGCAATTCATGTAATGGCTGAAGCAAGGTGGAAAGATTAGGAAAGAAGTGTCCATAGTAGTTCAGCAGCCCAATGAAGGAGTGGAGTTCTGCTACATTCTTTGGACTTGGTGCTTCACTAATAGCGGCAATCTTCTCATCTGTGGGATGGCGGCCTTCCCCGTCTACACGGTAACCTGGGAACTCTATACTTAGTACCATGAAGTCACACTTGGACTTCTTAGCTAATATGCCATGCCTCTCCAGCTGAGTCAGCACCTCATCTAGTACTTGCAAGTGTTTATGGGGATCTGTTCTGATTATGATGTCATTGATATGAGAATGCACATTGTCCATTCCCTTTAATATCTGATCCATGGTTGACTGAAGGAGTGCAGGGGCAGAGGCGATACCATACGTTAGGCACTGATAGGCATACAATCCTTTGTGAGTGTTCACAGTTAGGTATTGTCGGCTATTCATGCTCAGTTCCATTTGCTGATAGGCATTTGACAAATCAATCTTGCTGAACACAGTTCAACTTCCCAATATCTTCTGTGTTTGGCAGCAGGTAAGGGTTGAGTAGAAGGACCTGGTTCACTGACACCTGGAAGTCACCACAGATGCGTATACTTCCATCTTTCTTTGGCACGCAGACAATAGGAGAAGCCCAGTCACTCTGTTCCACCTTCTTTGCGATTCCTAACTTCTCCAAACAGTCTAATTCTTCTTCCACATTTTGGCGTAGTGCATATGGAACTGGACGAGCTTTGTAGAATATCGGTGTCGCATCATCTTGCAACTTTATATCTGCCTTAAAACCTTTGATGGTTCCCAGTCCCTTGTCAAATACCATTTTGTGACAACTTAGAAAAGCAGACAGAACGTCAGCCTTGCTCACATGAAAGATATTGTGCCAATTAAACTTCAGTTGCTCCAATCAGTTTCTGCCTAGCAGTGGAGGACTGTCTCCATCCACAACAATCAAATGTAGCACCAGTTCCTGCTGTTCATAGACCACAGGTACATGAACTTCACCGTAGACAGGAATTCATTGGCCATCCATTCTTGCAAATGACTGGCTAAATTGACTGAACTTCCATCTGCTTCCCTTTAAAAACTGTGTGACATATGGCAAACAACCTCTACATGATTGGCTCTGATCTACAAACACAACACAAAGAAATGCCAAAGAAAATGGCCTTCAAAACCTTGTGGAAACCAACAGCATCCTGTCATATGTAGACATGCTCCTGCCCACCCTGGTTGTGGTGGGAAAATTCATTTGGCGGGAATATTTGTAAAACTTTTCTCAGATATTGACAGAGAGAAGCAATGCAATGTTTGAAGAGGAAATGTTTACAAAGATTGAAGATGTCTAAATTCATGCTGTTACACTATGCACATTCACTTGCACCTTTGTATGTTTTAATCATATGCACTTGCACCTTAATTGCACTATACAACATTGTCACGCACGTATCCAGATAGCATGTATTTATTACTTGCAGCAACTTAATAAATTCAGTTTTGAATGTGTAACCGAACGACAAACAATGCAATCAACAATGCTTGGAGCAGAGAGTCTCCAATGTCTCTAAGCATCCTAGTTGAGGCACGATATTGTAATTTGCCACTGCTCTAGCTTGCGATATAAGCATGAACATTGTCCTTGTGATCGATGTAAAAATTCTGCTCTTTCAACTTCGCTGGAGTATACTTATTGCAAACATGCTTAAGCATTGAGGCAAGGTATATTTGTCTCTGCTCACAATATTACATCCCAGTTTAACTTTTTTAACATAAGAATTTTGTATTCTTAGAAACAGAATCCCTGTCTCAGATCAGAGATTGTACAGTAATGATGAAACAGGCAAAGAACAGGAAATACAAGAGAAGTTCCCGGCTAACAATTTTTACTTTAATGTGTAGATGTGTACAAACAGCTTTGGCGCTGCTAGACATGTTGTTAAGACAGTACCCAACTCTGCAGCTTATGCAGAAGTGTAATAAAGGTGTTCTTGATGGTGGGATGGGTTCCTCTAGTGAAAGGTGGTTAACAACCATCAGATTCAACTCATCAATGAGTCGCAAGATTGTTTCACAGAGGAAGAGGTGATGGAACTTTGATATGCATTCCAGAGCCTTTTCAAACCACTTCTTTGTCCAGGCATATTCTACCCAAGGATTGAGGATCCACAGTTGTGTACTGTCGTTGATTTTCAATGTCCCAGTCTCCCATGAGTTTTACATAAGGTTATTGTTCCCTTCTATCCAGTTGTGGATGATATAATTTGGGTGATCCAGAGCAATGCCTTGCTAGAGTGCTACAGTACAACAGCTATAGTACAAAGCAGGACAAAAGTGCTGCAAATTCATTACTCTCTCTAATAGTGACAATTTGAGGTGGTTTATCAAAAGGTGAAAAACCTTTTGAAGAAGAAATGTGCTTAAGCATGGCCACCAGCGGGAGATGAGAACTCCCTAGTGCCAATAGGCAGCCAAGGTCAAATAAAGGTTGTGACCCCGCAAACTGGACAATGAGCAGCTGGAGGGAGAGCCTTAGGATTAGAGTTAGCTAACACTATGTTATCTCATTGTTTTTCATTTTTTCAGTGACATTAGAACTCATAGTTTTGAACAAAAATGAACTTTTTTAGAATATATTGTTACAGTATTATCATTATATTTATTTATCATTATTTGTATTTATAACATTGTATATATTGTAACCTTCATATAGACAGCAATGTAATTATGTAAATAGCGATGTAAATATGTAAATAGAAATGCAACTTTACTCAGGCTCCATGCTTGCCTTGTCTCATCAGGAATAAAATACATGTTCGGGTAGCCAATTCTGGAGGAGTGCCAATGGAGGTGATCTGGTTTTCCTGCAGTCTAAATACCTGGTTCAGTCGCACTCAACTTTTGTGTAACCCTAAAAAAAAACTTTTGTGTGAGAAAACATGTAGACAGGAATTGAGAAATAAAACAAAATTATCCTGAGTAAATCCTGGCAACAATGAGTTAGGCTGGTAACTTGATGACACCCTCTGCAAGGGTTTGCGTACTGTTTTTGTTATAGTATTAAGCCGCAGAATAATACCCTCACAAATGAAGTGAGGTGGACCAGGAAACCAATCTACCCAACCAGCTTGACATCTTTAGCCTGCTATAGCACTGAAGGGTAAATGGCTAAGTGCCAAGTTGTCCAAGTTTGAAAAATTGTAATAACTTAAGGTGCTACTGCGACAAAATGTTCAGTTTTTCTGGTTCTGCCTGTGTTAATTTCTCATTTAGACCCTAAATTTCTGGAATCAGTGCAATTTTTACAATCTGGCGATGCAATTCCCTTAAACAGGCATCAAAAAACTGTAAAAATTATGTCCACCATTGCTCAAACAACAAATGTGAAAAACCTGCGAAATCACTACAGGGAGTTTCTTTGTGACATCATGGTCACAGCATGTGATACAGCAAAACAAATGGGAAGATGGAAAACAGAGGAGAATGTAGCATGTCCTCTAACTCAAGTTCTCCATAGGATGAGATTTAAAGTCAGCAGCGACCCAATAAGAGGCCGCAGCATACAAAGAAAATTATGTGTGCAAAGAAGAAGAACATCTCATGTATCAATGCCAGTTGCTGGCGAGGTTGAGGTCAATACATGGTATGTATTGCTCAAAAAACCATTATTTAGCTATTATCCTAAACTTTGTTATACTCACTGCTTTGTCTTGATCCGAAACATACAAAATTTGTAAAATATATACTTGTTTTGTAAAAAGTGAAATGTGACATTCCAGTCAATAATTTTTGCCAGTACAGGTGTTAATGTTCCCATTGTTTGATGGAGGCTGTGACTAAAAAAGAATGCATCTACTCCAAAGAAATCGACTTTGTTGGGGAGGTTATGATCCAAGTGGATCTAGTGGATCAGGGTATAACCCTCCATCCTGTCTTTCATGACATTTTCCCGAATCAATGAGCACTAGAAATAGCGTCATTGACGCTGAAAACAAAAGCTGGAAAAAGATACGGGACTTTTTTTAGCCAAGGTGCCAAGAGTGAATCAGTGTGAGTTGTTTTTTGAAACAATGTTATTGCATGATATCTGTTGTCTATTGCTGAATATATTTTTTTCATAGTAACTGCATGATAGTTTGGTTTGGTTGAAGATGCCACTATTCTCAATACACATGTTGTTGCTTCCAGTTTTTTCAGTTGATAATTTTTTCTTACTTCCTTGAGAAATCACTGTCACCAAAGTCTTTTTTCATTAAGGTATGTATATCTTTTAATAAAATTTAGGTTTTCTTTTGCATAATTATTTTTAATTAATTATTATTACCTTACAATGACTGCCATGTGAAAGCGGTAGTAGACTGGTTGTTCTGTCGCACTTTGTAATAATCATCACACTTTGTAATACCTGTCGCACTTTGTAATAAAACTGTCGCACTTTGTAATACCTGTCGCACTTTGTAATAACATTTGTCACACTTTGTAATAAAATAGCTGTCACACTTTGTAATAACAAGTTGTCGCACTTTGTAATAAATTAAGCTGTCGCACTTTGTAATAAGCTTTCAAATTTCCTTTGAATAGGATATTTGGTAGAAATTATATGACTTAACTAATC